ATGACGCCATGGCACTCTACCAAGGGCGACATAGTGAGACTCTGTCTCAAATAAATAAATAAATAAGAGTCCAGGAGTGGTCTAATCCAGAGTTTGGGGGCCCTGGATTGAGACTGAGAAACTATGGGGAGTGCAATATAGGAGGTGGACTTTGGCTACTTACCTGAGCCTTAAGCCAAAGCTTGTGACTGCTTACAATACTGAACAAAAGCTTTGAAAATGATTAACACCCAGCTTCAATAGAAAGTAGTTCTGCTTTCTTTAACAGGACAAGGTAACCCCGAAAGCCAGCACAAGTGGTTGCTGCCAAAATAAAACCCAAAGTTCATGCTCATAGACATTTTCTCTTACTAAAAATCAGCCCATGGGTGGAGATTTAACATGCTGATAAGATAGCTATGTATGAAGAATCTGCACGATGGCTAGATGGGCAGCTGCCAACCAAACTCCGCCTCTGCATGCTGTGATTTTAATACTGGTGCTATACTTTCTTACTCTTCCCCCCTTAAAAGTTCCCCCAGGACTCTCAGCCAATCTGAGAGTGCTTCTTAACCATCACTGTCTCCCTCACGTCTGAACATAAGCCCCAATAAAGCCTTGCCTGTGACTCCCACTTGGCCTCTGGCTAATTTCTATTCCATAGACAGCCCAAGGGCCTACGCAGGTAACAGGAGGAGTGTAGCATCCAGGTCTGTGATTGGGGAAGAGCAACCTATGATTGGGGAAGAGCAACAAAGAGAGATGGAGGCCCAGCCCTCAGGCCCAGGTAAGCAGGTTAGAATGCAGCAGCTGCCAAGCCCAGGCGCGGGCAGGCGTGTCTCAGTGACTCAGCGGGTGCCAGGAAGGGAGAGTTCCCTCTGCTCTCAGAGCTCCCAGACAGCACCCCATCCACCCGGCTCCCGGGGTGTCAGGCCTCCCGCAGCCAGCAGCCTGGTTCTTGGGGTGGGACGCCTACACCCGGCCGATCCCGACTCCCTCCTGGCCTCAGCCACTGGGGCCCATCTCGGGGCGTGGCCGCGGGTGGCCAGAGTTCTGCTGGTGCAGTGGGGGCCACTTGGGTCCTGGCCCCGAGGGCGCCGCGGACCGAGAGCGCCGTAAGTAGCGAGTGCAGTGGCCTGGAAGAGACTGAGAAGTCCCTTTCCAGGCCCCCTGCGTCCCACTCACCCCTTCCAGCCCCAGCTGGACACAGGACTAGGAGAGGTGGCCTGGCACCGCCGTTGCCTTCTAATTGCTCACGGGCCTTCATCTGAGGAGCCCAGACGAGGTTCCTGGGAGGCCCGGGTCAAGAATGACTCAACGCTGTCACCCCAGAGGAAGGTCCCTTCCGAGGATCCATAACCCTGGACACTCCCAGCCCCACCTGGAAGGCGCAGTTTCCAGGCTCTCCCCGTTCTCGTGGACCAGTCCGGAGGTTAAGCTGAGCGTCCCTGTACCCCCCTCGGATTGCCTGGCAGCGGCGCCTTCCTCCCCCCCACGCTCACAATTCCAGATGTGCCACCCAGCTGGCCCCTGCCAGGAGAGGACTCCTCCCTCCCTTTTCTCCATGCATCCTTATCTTAGAAGGCCTCAGAGCCCAAAGAAGGGCTGAATTTAGAGAATCTCTTTGCCTCCAAGTCAGTTGAATGACACAAATTCCCACCCCGGGGTAGGGGGATTAGGGATGCTCAGATCTGTTAGGCCAGGGGAGTCTGAAGGGTCACTAACATTTCCCAGAAGGACAACTTCTGGTGATGTGGACGCGTGGTATGTGAGCCCCACGTCCCGGGCACGGGGCTTAGGACTAAGGGGGCCGGGCAAAGCGTGCTCAAGGAACTCGATCCATTCCATTTTGGGGGCAACAAGATTTGGGGGACCGCAATGGTTCAGACATCTGGCCTGAAGCTGTTATGGTTTCTCTCTGTCTCCTGATTTTCTGCAAACTTTTGCAAAGTTTAGGACAGACGAAAGAAAACGCGCAGCCTCTTGTGCAGCCCCCAGGGCTCTGGGCCTGGGGGGCGGAGATTTCGGGAGACTGAGACCCTGCTCTGAGAGCGCAGAGGAAGAGCGCCGAGCTGGTTTCCTGTAGGGGCTCGGGCCTCAGGCGCCCCGCGGACAGAAGCGTCCGGCCGGGGCAGGGCAGTGCCGGCGCGGGGGAGGGGACTGAGACGGGGGCGACGGGGAAAGCGAGGAGGGGCGGGGAGAGGGTGGGCCAGGGAAGAGAGGAGGGAAGAGGCGTGCAGGGGAGGAGCGAGGGGGCCGGAGGGAGAGAAGGAAGAAGGGAGGGGGCGAGAGTCGGGAGCTGGCGCTGAAATGAGAGAAAGGAGCGAGTGAGAGGGAGGGTTCGCCGGGCTAGCACCGAGGAGCCGAGTGGCCCCTCGGCGGCGGGGGCGCCCGCAGCAGTCGCATGGCGGGCCCTGCGCGGTGATCCGGCTGGGCAAGGGAGTAGCTCGCAGCTTGCACTAGTAAGTGGACAGGGGAGGCGCGCTTCGGCGGCTGAATCGCCGCTGCCCACCCCTAGTCCCCAGGAAGGTCTGTCCACCGGCTGAGCCTTGTTTTCCGCAGGTCCCGGGCCGATGTACCAGGTGAGCAGTCAGCGCCCCCCTAGCTGCGACGCGCCCCATGGAGCCCCCAGCGCAGCTCCGGGCCCAGGTAGGACCTGGAATGGAGAGCAAGGCAGGACATGAGTGTTGTGGGCGGTTAAGGGGGGCCAGTTCCCAGTTCTACCCACCCCTGCATGAGACTCTGGGAGACTTCAGAGAGCTTGGTGGGGGTGGGGACGAGAAGTCTGGGTACTGGGAATCCGGTCCGAGCTGAGTAGAGGGCTGAGGTGAGTAGGGGGCAGAACTGAGCTGCGACTGCGCCAAGTTGGCTCCGACATCCCCCACCCCCAACACGACACAAACACACACACACACACACACACACACACACTGCAATGTCTGTCCGTCTGGGATTTGTGTCCCAACCCTTTCTGCCCAGTGTGTAAATATTTATGGGGGCCCGGAGGGGGGAGTTGTCTGAGTCTTTCTCTTTTTCCCTTCCCCAGCCCAACCAGAGCTCAGAGCTTCCCAAAAACTTTTGTCTGCCTCAAGCAGCTACAACACCGGCCCCTCCCCTCTTTCTTAACCATCTCTCCTTGCCTGCCTTTTCTCACTGCTGGCCAGCCCCCGCCGCTCCTACCCTGCAGGCTGAGCCCCTCTCCCCGCTTCCTCCCCACCCAAGTGTCGCTCATGGGACAGTTTGCAACTCCCTCAGGGTGTCTGGGGTAGGGGCTCTGAGGGCTGTAGCTCTCAGCCTCTTGCTCTCACCATACTGAGGGCTGAGCTGTCTCACAATGGAAGTCCTGGTCGGGAAGAAATCAGGAACACCTGGGATGTGTTTAGGGGCAGGGCATGGGGTGCAGGAGTGTAGGTCCAGACCTCATGACTTGACTCCTTCCTCTAGATTAGTGGAATTCTTTGCCTTCCTCTGCACCAGCCCAGTTCTCCCTTTCTCCCCTCTGGTTCTTTGAATAAGGAAGGTCTGACACTAACTGCACCTCCCTGGTCGAGTTCCTTCCCTCTGTGGCCTCAGTCTACATATCCACCATACAGGCTGTCTCCCTGTTTGGAGGGCTCATCTCAGCTCACTGTCTATTTGGTGTGACTCCCCCACTGTAGAGGGTGGGGTATCTCCTAAACCAGAATAAGGACAAATGGAAGATTTCTGGCCAGTGACCAGCACATATATGAGACCAGTGTGTCTGCAGCCTATCTTGGCCAACCCTCAGATTTCTTCTTCTTTTTATGGGGCCCCTCCAGCAGGGACTTCTGGAGAATAAGTTCCTCCAAGAACCAGGCTCTTTCAGCCTGGAGGGAAAGGGGCTCCAAAGGGTCTTTCTCTGTGTGTGGGAACCTTGTCTCTCTGGGCCTCTTTCCCCCAGCCCTCTTCCTTAGCCCCTGCTCTCTCCCATCCTCCACCTTCCCCAGCTTTCTTCCTCCCTTTATCCTTTTTCTCTGCTCTCTCTTCTACTACCTCCTTCCAAGGTCCACTGCCTTGTTTGACCCATCCTCAAACCCAGCAGCAAGAGGAGGGGGCTAAGTGTGCACAGAGCAGGGCCCAGGCCAAGGTGGAAGCTAGGAGGTTTAATCCCTGGGCTGTAACTTGAGGCCCCCTCCCCCAGCACCCCAGCAAGCCCCCTCCCCAGCCTGGGCTGGGCCAGACAATGCGGCTTTCATAACTTGAGACCTTGCTCTGCCACCGCTTTGGGAGAATGAGCCTGCTGCCCAGGAAGCCCAAACCGCAAGAGACCCAGCCAAAACCCCACAGACGCCTGAATCTGAGACCAGAATCCCCCACACTCTGCACACTGAGCACTGACAGAACAGCAAGGCCACAGTGCTGCCCCCAGGGGCCCTGCTGGCAGGACAGCCAGGGAGCAAGTCGGCCCCCTCCCTCAGCTGTCCCAAACACAGACAGGGCACAAGGGGACTCAAAGCAGCTCTGGTGGGGGCAGGTGGCCAAGCCCCCACACCCTTGGCTCTCTCAGTGCCCCCACCCCCACCCCGAGAGCCCCAGGAGCCTGGCTTCCTAACCCACAAGCAGATTTCTGCCCAGCACTGGGGCGTCACATTCCTGCTCATGGTTCTAAATTGAATTTCCTGGGGAATTGGAGTCTTCAGACCTAAAATAAAACTAACCCAGCCCAGCCTAACTGACCGGCTCAGGCCCTCTCCAATTCTCAGCTTAGTGGCCCAGGATTGTGACCAGTGAATTTACGTTAACCATGGGTACATCAAAAGAGTCTATATTCTCCAATCTTCTTAGGGTTCAGGGCCAAATGCCACCCTAATCCTTGGCTCTTTCTCCTCCCCCTGACTAGGGCATTCAAAACCCCAGAACTCAATACTCACCAGTAGACATTGGTTGAGTGCCCACAGGAGATGCAGACATGAATACCGACACCACCCCATGTGAATGAGCTGGGGAGGGCTATAGTCTGGTTGAGGAGCCAGCACATCACTACCAGTTATAATTAATAAGAGGTGACACTGGGACTAAGTTCTTAGGAACTGGGCCAGTTGGAGGAGGGATTGTTGACGCAAGGGTCAGAGAAGGCTTTCTGGAAGAAGGGGTGAAGTTTGAGCCATGTCAGCAAGGATGGGTTGGATTTGGAGAATGGGAAAAGGTAGAGGTAGGATATTCTGGTCAAGAGGAGCAGTATAAGTAAGCTTGAGTGGAGTGATCAGAAGGTCCAGTGATGGCCCAAGACCACAGAGAGGCCAGTCTATCTGAAACACAGGATCCTTGTATTATACCTTGAAGACTGAAGATGAGGACTGAGACCTTGAATGCCAAATCAAGGAGAGATTGAAGTGTGGCCTTTCAGCTGCCCATTCTCCAACCAGATGAAGTCCTGGCCTTCCCTTTCCAGAGATGGTCAGTGCTCCAAGGGAAAAACCCAGATGCATTGTCCACAAAGACAATGACAAAGGCTAGACCTGAGGGATCAGGCATTGGAGCTCTAGAACACCAGCCAGGGATCTTGAGACTGGAATTCCCATGAGCACTGTCTGAAGCTGTCTGCCCCTCAGTTTGGTGGACAGCAGGCAGAGGGAGCCCACAGAGTCCCTGGCGAAGTTAGGAGTCTCTCTCGGCTTTCCTTCTTGGGCATATGGATTTAAACAAGACTCTTCCACTCTCTTCTGTGGAAGAGTCTTTCCAGAACTCCAAGCATTGACCAGAACCTTATCCTGTGTGGAGTGGGATAAGGAGTGGGAACGTGTTGAAACACAGGGGCTGTTGCCTTTCTGTATTTCTCCCATGTGTGTTGTGACCCCTGAGAGGAGCGCCACAGGTCTGGGGGCTTCTGCTCAGAGGTACCTCCAGCATGTATGGCACCACTGTGCAAATTAGGAAGAGGTGCTTCTCTGGCCAAATGCAGCATGTGTGCAGCTGGGTGGGTAGATGGCACCTACTAGGACAGGGCTCCATCCAGGGACTTCGGCCCCACCCACTCACCCTGTCAGCAAGTCATGCTTTTGTGAAGGACATTATTTGCACATCCACATGTGGGCCTCCTCAAGCTTCACTGACCACCCTCCCTGCAGCCCACTCCACACTTCCACCCTCCAGTAGTTTCTTCTCCAGTGCCTCTTGGTCATAGAAAGGAAACCTGAGCTGTTGGGCATCTTGATGTGTGAGCTTTTGGGCTGAACCTCCAGCCTGGCTTCACTGCTCCTGCCCCAAGCAGGAGCTGCTTCTTAGCCAGCGTCTTGGTATCCTCCAGAGCAGTATCTCCCTCACAGACCTGTCTTCCTGCCACTATTTCTCCTTTATTCTGCTCCCCTGTCTCTGGGTAGTTGGTATAGCCCCTCTTCTGCCCTCAGGGCTGGTCTGCTGAGACCCTTTTGTGCCTCTCTCGGCTCTAGGAGGTCCCTGTCTATCTGTGTATCCAAGTCGGGGTTACTGGATTTGGTTTTCTTTCTTTTCTCATTTCCTCTCCAAAGGCTTTGGTCTGGGCTCTATAATTTCTTATTCCCACCAGATTCAAGGTCATCAGCCAACCCTATAGGTGACTGTTAGGAGAGACTGCCCAGGGTTGGTGACACTTTGGGTGAAGAAGACAGAAGTGTAGACCCTAGTCTTAAACCCTCTTCCTTCCTCTCTCTCTCTGAGGATCAAGAGACCAGACATCCTGACTCTCTACTACAGGATTGAGTGTGTCACCCTGTGCATCCTGCTGACCTCAGGAGGAAGCTTGGGAAGTGACCACAAGGCCAGCCGTGCCCCCGCTACTGTTCTAGGCTTACCAGCCTCAACACCACCAAAGGGCACGTGGTTTCCCTCGTTCATTCTGCAGCTGCTCACTCTGGGGTCTGGTTCCTGCTGCTTTTCTCAAAATTCTCCTTGTTTGCTGATGATTATTCAGTGATCTATGTGAATGTTGCCTTCTCCAGAAGCCTAGCCATACACAGATGCACCCATCCAGGCTAAGGGCCCCATCTTCTGTGCCTCCACAATTCTTACAGATGCCCCTACTGCAACTGTATATGTGACAGACAGCCACCACACATACACAGCCCTGACAGGGAACTCCTCAGACTACGACCTGGTCTTTCTCTTTCTGGTATACACAGTGCTTGTCACATTGCTAGGTGCCTCATAGATAGTTGTCAATGTTAAACAGCACAAAAAGGGAAGGAAGACAGTGAGGGAGAGGAGAGGGAAGAGTGAGTGGAAGGGTGGGTGGAGGTGTTCATGAATAAGCCCCTGTCTGCCAGGACACTGCAACACATCTTATTTACTCCTCAAAACCCTAAGAGATGAAGATTAGTATCTCCCTTTACACAGGATGACCTGGATTCTGGTAACTTGCCCAAGATGGTATAAACCAGAGCTGGGATCTTGTGGCTCCTCTCTCAGTTCTTTTCCAATATACCACGTGGGAGAGTCAGGGCCCCCAGTTTGGGGTCTGGGGCCATGGCAGGATGCCCCTCGGGGCCAGGGTCTAGAGTGAGGCAGGGCCCTCCCTTCCTGGAAATTAGGACCCAAGCCCTGTGCCTTCTCTTTCATGCCAATTTAGCCTTAGCCCCCAAGAGCCACTTCTGAGCTGGTGTGGGCCAGGCTCAGGGCTGGGAGAGGCATCACCTAGCAGGCTGCATTGTTCCTCCTTGAGTGCCATCTCCTCCACTTGCCTGCTGTCCATCGTCCCAGCCCTGTAATCATTCAAAAGCCTTTTGACATTCTCAGTTCAGCTCCCGTAGCACAGTGATTATGGTGCCAGCCACATACACCAAGCCTGGCAGGTTTAAACCTGGTCCAGGCCAGCTAAACAACAATGACAACTGCAACAAAAAGAGGCTGAGGCAAGAGAATCATTTAAGCCCAAGAGTGTGAGGTTGCTGTGAGCTGTGATGCCACAGCACTCTACCCAGGGTGACATGGTAAGACTCTGTCTCAAAAAAAAAAAAGATGTCTTTTGACTTTCTGCAGGAGGCTCTCAATAGGCTCTAAGAGCAGATGGAGCTGGAGGGAAACCACCCCCTGCTTCCCTGGGACCATGATACTGTGAAGGGACCCCAGCAACAGCTCTGTTGTCCTTTAGGAATCCCCAGAACCCAGCCCCTCTCTTTGGCCTAAGGTCCTGTCTCCAGGCAGGGCCTGTGGTCTGCCCTAGGCAGGCATGAGCACACCCACGTGGGCCTACCATCCTCCATGCTACCCACATGGGGCCTTTGGGGCCTCCATTCTCCTCCTTCATGGGCCTTTGGGGACCAGGGTCACTGAGGAACAAGGATTCCTCAGGGGTCTCAGGGTCAGAGGCCACAGAGGGTTGTTCTGAGGCACTGGGTCATCTTCTCAGTATGCTTCCAACTCCTGGCCCTCAGACCTGTGTGCCCAAACTTTAATGATCCCTCTAATTACCTCCCTCTTCTGTTCTCATCTCGCTGTCATTTGGAGACAGTTCAGAGAAGGACTCCACATGTAAGCCCCTCTCTGTTCTCTGTGATGGATTCTGTTCTCTGTCTCCCTGTCTGTGTCTCAGTCTCCTTGTAGGGTATACAGATGGGTGTTCATCTTTCTCTGTCTGGGCTTCACTGCTTGTGTCTCTTCATCGTTCTCTGCCCCCTCTGTGTCCTGTTTTTCCCCTTGCCCTTTTGACCTCTGTGTCTCTCTGAGGGGAGTCTCTTGTTTCTGTATCTCCCTGCTCCTTCTCTCCCTCCCAACATGATATGTGGGGAGGAGGAAGGTAGGAGGCCATCCTCTTGAGACCCCT